TATATTATATTAATAAAGTATTAAGGAGACCTTAATTTTCTATATAGAGAAGTTACTAGGTAAGTTATCTATAACCTCTTTAAAGAAATACTTCTAATAATATATAAGTTTAATAGTATTTTTATTTAAGATAATATTTTTATATATATAGTTTAAATAATTTAAAATTAATTACTTTTGTAAGCTAAAGAGAATAAAGTAGAATTAATTAATTAGCTACTATATTTATCTAATCTTAATTTTATTAAAAACTTATAGAAGGTATTTAAAGAATATATTTATAAGCTTTAGCTAGACTTAGTAGATATACTAAAAAACTATAGAAGTCTCTAAGTATTAAGAATAACTATAGTAGAGGTATAGGAAAATATTAAAGTTAAGATATTATAGAAGCTAGTAGGTAAGATGAAAAAATAGTTGGAGGCTGTAATTGATATAGATAGATAGTATATAAAGTACTAATTTAGTAGATCTTTTTAAAATTATATTTTAATACTTCTTATATACCTCTATAATATTTTATAATATTTTTATATATTAAAATAGCTGAGATATAGTTATTTAAAGTTAGAGAGTGACTTTGAAGTTGTTGAGGGGAAATGTAAAGTGGGGTCAAGTGATTGAAACTTTTTTGCTTTGACTGTATGTACGTCATGGTACACTAGCTGTATATATATTTGAATCGCATTTGGCTCTGCGCAGGGGAAATTCCAGAGCTATTAGTAAGCCTAGCATTTAAACTAATATTAGTCTACCCGCTCGTCAGCTGTTCATCGAGAGCGTTTAGATTGGAAGGACAATCGGAGCGATGCTGCCAATATCGATATTAGCGAAAGTTCGTTAGATTTTAGGACGCGTCTAGACGTACCTCTAATTGTCATTCATCCCTTTCCCCCGGATCGGCACCTGGCGACCTGAAAACTCGACAGGAGCACCGCCGCCTGTAATCTTGCTAGGGTTTAGTGAAGTCTGCCCCCGTCAATGTCGTGCTTTGATACTCTCCAATTGCGGCAATTCCGCGATTGGTCCGGATACAGGATTTCTGAAATTAAGGGCACCAAGGAGGTCGAGAGGAACGGGGATGAAAAGTTGTATCGATGTGGAATCGAAGACATGCTTGGGAAGGAAGTAGTACACGATATTTATCGAAAGAAGACCTCTGCCGCTCACTGAAAATGGGACGTGGTGGGACCGTAGCCTACGCACGTGACCAAATTTGGAGGAATCAGAAAACTGCATGCTTGACACCTCGATCGAAATTCCAAGTACTCCACTAATTTGTTTGAAGGCGAACGTGATCCTAGCGGTAACACCAGGTCACACCAGGTCTTTCTTTGAAATGAGAATCAACTCGAATTGAATGCCTGCCCCTCGAAGGCTCGACGTCAAATCCCACGAGACATTTAGGTCAGGCCCCAAGGCCATCTACAATGAGAATAGACATGAAGTTGCCGAGTGTTTCAGTCCAGTGGCGAGTGTCTCTCTGCTCTCTTTTCCTTTTTCGTTTTATTCCCCCATCCAGTGTCTCAACAACACGAGATTATGAAGGAAACCACGAAGTAAACTACTGTTCCATCCATGGCTGACGGTACAGGGCTGCATTACCCGCCAGGGATTCCCCAAGCACGCCAGCATTGGTTCGTCTGGAATTGATCTTGATACAGGACAGGGACGGACAGGACATGGTCCAGGGGGTGAGCCTCCCCTGTCGATAGCAACGTGTCCTGGACCTGCTTCTTTTTTATCCCTTCCTCTTTGACTCATTCCCCCTTTTTCGGATGGAGTAGCCTTGCCGGAAGACCGAAACAGAAAAATTTTATCGGTTCGGCCCTTGTTCCCTGGTGGAGGTGGACAATTTATTGGGTTGGGGTTGTTTCATTTTTGGAGACTTTTACGTTTGGGGTTTGCCAGGTGGCGACTAATGCTACACACTTGACTGTGGGGGTTTAGGCTTGGGGAGGACGGTCACAGTCGAATGGATTTGAATCGAGATCACACTTGTAATCCATTGAGCTATTCTCTTCCTCTCTACTTCGTATTTCGAAGGAAAACCTGGAATGAAGGACGAGTTGGGACACGGTTACACGTCCATCATGAATGAGCATTAGTGATTGATGTATCACAGTTCGAGAGAGCTGACGAAGGAATACAGGAACATAACAGGAAAGAACATTGAAAGGGATGAGGAGACGTCTAGCGTCCGCACTCATCGTCTCAATGTTTCCTTGGTGTCTTGGAAGCTCCAATCATTGTTAGAATATGTATTACCGTGTTTGACTCTACTTATCAGTTGACGGGTACTGGGACAATTAGAGAGAGCATATTCAGAGGCGGTTGATGTTATCAGCACAAGAACCTGCATGAGCAAGTCAACTTGAAGTTTATTACGCTTGAAGCTCGTAATAAACTCAAAATCTAACATTCAAATTAAAAGTACTTCGTATTATCAATGAGATTGAGCTGTTCCTTCCCAATACTGAGTACCTGACGGGCCTCGGCAGGAACGAGCCACCAGCTTCGAGGCAGTTGCAGCCAAACACCTTCTTCTCACGATCGCAGCATGTTCCTCCGTACCGCAGGACCTCATCGGTTGTCACCGAAGTACACTATTTTGAGAGCACCCCACTCACCCCACTGGTCACACACAATTGAATGCACCACACACATTTGATTGCAAACACATTGCTCACCCGCACACACCAGACCAGTCAAGTCAGGCCAGGCACTGTCGTGACTACCCAAATTTGATCGAGCTGGATCCATCCCATCCCACGGCGGTACTCGGTACAGAGTACAATTTTTGCAACGCAGCAGTTGCGCCTGTGCTCAATCTTTCCCTATCGAGCACGGAGTACAACTTGCAACATTCCTTGATCCCAGCACCTGCAGCTGCACCCGTGACGATTACCCACGATTATCTCATAGGGCAGGCAAGACGGGCAGCACTCCAACCCGTGCCTGGATCGCCAGTACGAAATACAAGTGCTGCCTCAACCTTACCATTCCACCAACGCTTGCCCAAACACACCATCTCAGAAACTGTTCTGGCTCTCTAAATTACCCCTGCGTCGCAATCCTAGACGCCTGCGACCGCCCTCTTAGTTACCGATCTCCGCCTGCCGACTCTCCAGCTTCTAACCAAGAGGTCTCTTGCACCGCCAAATCTGCTAATTCCCTCGGACTGCCCTTACCCAGCTACCCGACGTCCTCGCCCCGAGACACGGCCTCGAATGTCAATCTCCTCGCCTCCTCTAGCAGACCCTCCGACTCTCAAGACGAGGTAGCTCAGTCCGCCGACGCCCACTTCCCCCGCCAAGCCCATCTCGCTGTCACCCGACTCTGCGGCTCGGCTTGCCAAACCATGGTGCATGGTGGCCGCTGCCTCCCGTCCCGCCGACCATGGTCTCCGATTCGTCTCCCCCTCTCTCCCTCTCGCGCTCCGTCTCCCAGCAAAGCGTCAACTCCCTGAGGAGTCATCGCTCCTCCACCGTCCGCGCTTCCAAGTCCCGAAAGCTCTCCTCCCAGACTTGCAGCTCCGCTTCGTCCATCGCCGCCTCTGATAAGTCTCTCACGTCGTTTCCCTCCTTCTCCCCCGATTCGCCCCGTGCCGAGAGATCGAACCTCGCCGAACCTCCCGAATTCTCAATATCTCCTAATGCCTCTGCTTCTGCTTCTGGTC